AGTTTAACTCTCTTGAAATCTGCACTGCATTCAACTTCTGGTTGAATATAATGAATGCTGGGGTCTTTTCCTCTTTTTTTTTTTTTTGAGTCATCAATCCTCCTGGCAATCTGAAGCCTATAGATCCCTTAGAAATAAGGTTTTTAAATACACAAAATAAAATTCCTACGTGTTTATAAATGTGATTACAAAGCAAAGCAGTTATACTGAAATTTAGTTATCAGATTTTTTTTTTTAAAAGTGCTTGGGCCCTCTCAAAGTTATCTGTAGATCCCAGGTTAACATGTGTCAGCAGACTGCAAGCGCTATCAAACGCTGGGTCATATCTGTTTTGTTACAACATAGTGGCTTTGTTTAAGTATCTGTGCTTCATAAAGGAAAGAACTCCCCTGAAAATCAGTCCAGTGGTCTGTCTCCTTAATCTGTTCTCCTAGCCACTTCTGTGTATTTTTGGTAGACTTTTTAATCGAACATGAGCATGAAGCAATATGAAGGCAAACTGCCAATGAATACAGTTCCTCCTTTTTTGCTCATTAGTGAGAAAAGATATGGAAAGAACAGATAGTGCCCTGATAAAGCCCTTGGTTAGGGGAATATTGATGCAGTGGGCACAGTCCTGGTAGAGGTCTTGACAAGCCAGGTAAAAGAATAACTTGGTTCAGTTCTGCGGTCTTACTGCAAGAACAGTAGCTGAAATGGAAGAAATTGGTTCCCTGGATTTGTATTACTGGTTCCCTGGATTTGTATTACTGGTTCCCTGGAATCTCCTTTTTCCATTGAGCTTGCTCATTTTCAAGGCAGCTAATGCGTGGTAGAAAGGGCATTCACTGGTCTGGTAGTCTGTTTCATTTCACTGTCAAAGCGTCTTTGAGCCTGTTCTCCCGAATATTCTTATCAAAGACTTGGATGAAGGCATATATGTGAGGGTTATCAAATTTACAGACAAACCTATAAAGGTGTAAGGGACAGTTAAAACACCGATGGAAAAAATCTGGAGTAAAAAAAAAAGATTTTAATGGGCTAAAATGTTAGCACAAATCAAGTAAGATAAAATGCAGTATGGATAAATGCAAAGTCCCATACTTGGGATAGAAATAGTAAACTGTGTATGTTTAGAATGGGGGAGACAAGGCTACACAGTTGCTTTTGGGGGAAAAAAAGATCTGAAGGATTTTATTGGATTGTAATCTCATGAGGAAGCTAAAGAATGACAAGGCAGATGAGCAAGCAACCTTGCTCTGACTCTTCATTAAATAGAAGGACTCTAGGTGGATGGCTTCCAAATCTCTTCCTAGACTTCTCTTAATTCACAGATCCACATTTCCAATGGAGAGCTCCACCACTAAAAAACAGCTTCCTGCCTCTTACCTCCCACCCCCAAGAAACAAACATCCACACTGGTCTTTGCTCCTTCTGACTTCACTATTCCTGTCTGCAGCACATGTGGCCCTCTAGGTCCTCAAGTGTGGCCCTTTGATGAAATCCAAACTTCACAGAACAAATCCCCTTCTTAAAAGGATTTGTTCTGTAAAACTTGGACTCAGTCAAAAGGCTGCCTCAACGACCTAGAAGGCCACAGGTGGCCTTGAGGTCACAGGTTCTCCACCTCTGAATACACCATTCATCTAGGCTCCCATATCCAAAACCTTGGGGCTATCTTTGTCTCTCCCTCTCCCCTCACATCCAATTGGTTGGCAAATCTTGTTGAGTCCACCTTTGCCACCCTTCACCCTATTGCAACCCCAACACCACCATCCTAACAGAAGCCCTTATTTCAATGGCATCCTCATTAAAATCTTAATCCTTATTGAGAGCTCAGAGCTGCCCTGAGACAGCTAGGAGGTATCACTGCTGGGTGCTGGGCCTAGAGTTGGGAAGACTTGAGTTGAAATCTGGACTCAGACATTTATTAGTTTGTGACTCTGGGCAAGTCCCTTCACCTTGGTCTGCCTCAGTTTCCTCAACTCTAAAATGGGGATGATAATAATACTTCCCAGGCATGGTGGAAGAATCAAAACAAAAAAAATTGTAAATTGCCCGGCACATAGTAGGTGCTTAATAAATGCCTATTTCCTTCCTTATCTCTTTTTCTCCTGCAATCCAACTCTCATAATACTTCCAGAATTATCTTTTCTACCTATAGATCTGTTTGTGTCATTACTCTATTTAGAAATTTTCAGTCTCATTATTTATCAACTTCAAGTATTTGTTTGTCATTCAAGGCTCTCAACAATTTGGTGCCTTCCAATATTTACAGCTCTATCTCATCATTGTCTTCTCACAATGCCATATGTACTCTTCTGGTCAGAAGAGGCTCTAGAACATACTCTGTACTTTCCCATCTCTACATCTTTGCTCAATGTTCCTTTTGCCTGGAATATCCATCCTTTCCCTCCCTTTGCATGTTGAGTTCTTACTCAGACTTTAAAACCCCAAATGAAATGCCTGTTTCTTCACAAAACCTTCCCTGATCATCACAACCTTCCTGTCTCCACTCCCAAGACCTCACATCGCATTATCCTGGAATGTCCTAATGCTATATATTATGGCTGCTGGTATCTTATGCCTTTACTAAACCATGATGTGATTCCTGATCCTATTGGTAAAGACAGTGTGGCTGGCTGGAGACACCTGGGGTCAGATCCACCTTTGATATACTATACCATCAGTGCTGCTATGGGCAGGTCAGCTGCTTTCCTCCCCTGTAACATTGGGTTAATGACATCCCTAGTACTGTTAAGAGGATTAAATGAGAATATATGTCAAGCACTTTGTATACATGAGGCCACTATATAAAGGTCATCTATTATCTCGTTTGTACCTCCCCAGTGCTCTGCACTGATTAAGTGCTTAATGTTTACTGTATGTATATGTCTTCTATGGACATACATCATCCACCCACTGCCATATGCCCCCATCGGCCACCTTTTTGTTCCTCATTCTCCCGCCTCCTTCCTGATGTGCTCTATCTTACGTCTAATTTTCCTCTGTATCAGAATCAGAGCTAATTTTTAACTTTATCTATTTTGATTAGCTTGGCAGCCAAATTCCAGACCCATTCTTTTCCCTTCAGGCAGTTTTCTAATCAACTTACACGATTTTGTCACTTGCAGATTTTATGGTCCAGCTTCTCCTTTGAAGGCCCTTGATGGTAGCATCATTGTAGATAGGCTTTAGAATACTCTGACACCACATTGTGGCATACATCTGGTGACTGTTGTGGACTCACAAACGGGGATTTCGAGAAGGTGGAGAACATGCTGAGAAGGGTAGACAGGATATAAAGGGAACTTGAATCTGTGCTGTGTGAAGATGGGTTGGAGGATCTGGACACACTTAGCCTGGACAAGAAAAGACTTGGGAGAGAATATCTTGGTCCTCTAATGCTTGAAACACTATCATGTGGAAGAGAGACTTATCCCACCTGGCCCAAACAGTAGAACTAAGACCAGTGGGTGCAAATTACTGGGAGACAGATTTTGCTCAATAGAAGGAAGCTCTAACCATAGGAACTGACCCCAAATGGAATGGACTGAGCTCCCCATAAGTGGAGCTCTTCAAGGGAAGACCAATCAATAGGGATATCGTAGAATGGATCTTATCTAGACGACCTCAGAGGGTCCCTTCCAGCTCTGGGATTCTATAATTCAAATATGTGGTAGAGAATATTGATGGGGTTAGCTATCCTAGAGACCTAATTCAGCTAAAATAGAGTGAATCAAGCATTTTTATAATTTCATTTCAAAAGTCAGGTTGAGAATGCTGTGAAACAAAAGCAGTTCATAATCAATACTGATCACGTGGACTCTGTTGATAAAGTTCTCTCGAGTGCAAAGAAAGCTCCGTTATTTGGCCTTCTTCCACACATAAGCTTTATGATACTCCTTTATAGGCTCAGGTCATCTCTATTCATGACCCTTCCTGAAGTTATTGGAATTCGGATCTATGTGTTACTCAAAACAGTGGGCGGGCAGGCAGGTCTCAAGTCTCTTCATAACTTGAGAGAGATGTAGAATTGTTTTCACTTCCTTTTAACTTGAAGCAAAAGTCTGTGTGCTGTCAGATAATGACTTCCACGGTATTCTCTGAAAATCCTGAGATGAGACCTCTCTCGACTAGGATCTTTTAAATTTGCTTCTTTGCCATGAGAATGATGTATTCTTGCTATGCTGGTACAACAATTATTGATGGCAGCAATGAAGAAAAGAGAAACAGAAGTCAGAGTTTCTGTTGAAAATACTGTGGTTATTTTGTAGTACAAACTGTAGGTTTCTGTTTCTGATTGTGACCAAGAGATGCTCTTACAGTCTATTAATGACAAGAGTCAACGTGGTATAGTGGAAAGAACATTGCCTTTGCAGTCGGAAGGAATCTGGGTTGGAAGCCTGTCTCTGACACTTGGATTAATCAATCAAGGGCTTACTATGTGCCGGGCACTGTGCTACGTGCTGGGAATACAAAAAGAGGCAAATGCTCATTCCTGCCCTCAAGGAGCTTACAATCTAATGGAGGATCATGAACAAGTTCTTCAATATTTCTGAACCTCAGTTTCCTCATCTGTAAAATGGAGAGAGTAACTGTAGTACTGGAAAAGGTTGCTGTGAGGCTCAAGTAAGATTATGTATATCAAGTGCTTTTTAAATTAAAGCAACATATTCATGTTTTACTTGCCTTCTGCATCTCTAGCATCTATCACTCTTTCTTTTTTATTTCATGGCTTACCAAGCCCTACTTAAGAGTCCTACTATATTGTGAGCTTGAGCTCTGCACACAGCAGGCACTCAACGTGTGTGTGTGTGTGTGCGTGTGCGTGTGTAAAAGCTTAAATACAGCAAGCTGAGTCATTGATACAGAGAGGGAAGATGATGGCCAAGGATTTCTCTTCCCCTACACAGGTTTTCTAACAAGTTTAAGATGATGGATGGGAATGGAAGGGATCTAGAGAACTAGACGATGAAGGTCGAGGGGAGAGCTTCCAGAGAAAGACAAAGCCACCCACATCTTTTGTATCTTTCCATTTAATTCATTACAGTGATAAGATGGATCACAGTAGTTAATGCTGTACATAATAGTTATTATTATTATTTTTAAAAGGTCTGGCTTCAAAATCATGAATAATCTGACAGTTTAAATACTTAAATTTTTTTCTAATGATTTCTTTATATAAAATTTCTAGTAATGAGTTCTAGACTTGTGGATGGATATAAACTGATCTAGCTGCATTTTTCTGTATGTGCAATATGAAAAGAACTTGTAGAAAAAACATTCCCACGTTTTAGCTGGATGGTTAGAAAAATGGCAACTGCAAATGACTCTCTTAGTGAAGATACTCTGACCTCTCTGCAGAGGTACCATTATCTATGTTTTCTATATTAAAAGCACAGCATTTTAACAAACTCTTTTGAGGATGAAAACCTATAGGAATAAACGTACTGATGCTCAATGCAGACAGAGGGAATGCAATGTTGAGGACCTGCAGGACACCGTTAGAGTTCATTGTGTTGAAGACCTCTTGAGATCCTAGTAGACAAGTCTTGCAAGTGCTTCTTTACCTAAAGATGGAAAATGTTTTTTACTAGTTGGGCAGGCAATTATGAAGTCAATGGAGTAAGATCAGTGCTAGATATCCTGATAAAAACCAAAATGAAAACATATAAACGTTAGCACTGATCTTGATTTTCAGTCACCCATTTGTCCTGAATTTGCTGTCAATATCACAAAAGCAACTCCACAGGAACTAGAAAACATCGACTGAGTAATAAAAAAAAAAATCAGGAAACAAGTGAGACTGAAAAGGTAAAGCAGAGACTGATGATGTGGTAGGGGAGTAGTCCTAGAGTTAGAAACCTGGAATTCAAGTCCTTGAACTTAGTAGCTGTATGACTGGGGCAGGGAGGGATGGCAAGTGACTTTTCTGAGCCCTACTTTTCTCCTCCATAAAATGGGAAGTAATACCCTCCTTCCTCCTAAGGTCATTATGAGGATGAGCCTTTGCAAATTCCTACATGTTATGGAAATGTGAGGTACAACATTGGATCAGGCCATTTTGCTATTTAAAAAGCCAGAGAATGGAATGAAAATGACAGTGCTTTCCTTACAACTGTGCTGTGTGAGTGAAGTATTCTTACTTTCATTTTACAAAAGGAACAAAGCCTCCAGCCTTGGGACGGGATGTGACCTGCCCTGGGCTTTGGACTCGAGGCCCCTGCTCTTTCCCCAGGCTCTAAGAAGGATTGGAAATAGTTCAGAGACAGTGTCTCTCCTTGTAAATGTAGGGTTTCTTCCATTTAAAAAAAATTCTTATTAAAATATGTAGATTGCTTGTAATGTAGAGATACTATGATGAATATTATTGGAATTTTCAGTTTCCATGCAGACACGTGGAAAAAAGGTTACTTGACTAAGCTGAAGTGTTTGGTTACCTTACTCCTCCCTTTGTATTCCTCTACTAACATTTGTGAAGTTTCATCTTCACAACAGAATTGCTAAACTCAAGGGATAAATAACAGTAACCTTCAGTCTTGTTATTAATAGCACTAAATCTCTTCACAGAATAATACTTTGTAGTAACTACTATTAAATTACAGGCATGTCCTACTATAATCCTTCAAGGGCCTATGATTTAATCAATGTGTACTACTTCTATTAAAGCAACTTGCATTTCCTCTAAACTGTCTTGGTGAATTTCTGTGGCCAAAAACGTCATCACCTGGTGGTCGATGGTGCAAGTCTCCCCTCTTGGCTAAAGTGGTCCTTCAATGACAGACCTATCATCCACTAATGATCATCTGTACTCACAGCCTTTATATCTCAGTGGGAAGGTCCGAGGTTACTTCCATGCCACCATGAGGCACTAGAGGGCTGTGGGGGTGGGGGACACAGACATGCTCTATGCAGGAAAGAGCCACTGCCTGATGCAAGAATGATGTGGGGATACTCTTCTGGTGGCCGCCTGAATCTGAACTTTCCAAGCTGTACTTAGGGAAAGCTGTACTTCCCTAAGTCCTGCCTATTACTATTATACCCATCTCTTTTAAGATCTAGCTCAAAATGTCAAAGACTTCAGTGTCACCTTGTCCATGAAGCCTTCTTTGATCCCCTCAGTTAGAAGTGATCTGTCCTTTATCCACTCTACTAGCATTTCGTATGCCTCTAATTCATTTTTAACCTTTTCAATTAAAAATCAGTTTTTCTCTCCTTCCCACCTCCACCAATGGGAGGTGGGAGGTGGGAAGGAGAGGCCCTTGCAACAAATACACAGTCAAGTAAAATAAATCCCTACACTGGTTGTGTCCAAAAACTCTATCTGATTGTGCCCTGAGTCCACTGCCTCTCTGTTGGCTGGCTTCATCATCAGTCCTCTGGAATCATGACTGGTCATTGCCCTGATCAGAATTCTGAAGGTTTTCAACAAAGTCATTTGTTTTACAGTGCCGTCACTATTGTGGAAATTTTTCTCCTTGTTTTGCTCGCTTCACTCTGTCAATTCATACAAGTTTTCCTAGGTTTCACTGAAACTGTCTCTTGTCATTTTTATGGCAAAACAACCTTCTGTCACATGCAGATACTGTATCTCTTCAGTCACTCCCCAGCCGATGGGTACTGTCTTAGTTACCAGTTCTTTGCTGCTACAAAAAATCAGCCACTCTAAATATTTTTGTACATATGGTTTACTATCTTCTTTCTCTGATCTCTCTCAGAGGTAGCTGGTGGCACAGTGGATAGAGCATTGGACTCTCAATCAGAGTTCAAATCTACTAACAGGGTATCACTGTGCCTACTTCTCCATAGCCCCTTCAATGTTTGTCCATCTGATGGGTATGAGGTAGAACCTCAGAATTTCTTTAAAGTGCATTTCTTTAATTACCAGTGATTTGGAACATTTCTTCATTTGCCTATTGATTGCTTAGTTTTCTCAAAGCGTGATCCAGGGACCCCCTCCTAAGACTCTGAATGCTAATATTCTCACATCGAGCTTTAGATGGACTCCCCACGTAGCCACACAGGAGAGTGATCCAGTTTTCTGTCTTTAGTGGATCAGGCCACCTCTCAGGTATAGGACTACCAAAGTGGGTGGCCAGATCTGCAAATCTCATTTTGGTCTTGTTTTGCCTTGGATTAGTCTACCAAGGGTGGGTTCCCCACCCCTGGCGACTCTAAACACTAGCTGTGTGACCTGGGTAAGTCAGTTAACCTTTTTTGCCTTGGCTTCCTCACCTGTAAAATGGGGATTATAACAGCACCAACCTTGAAGGGTTATTAAGAGGACTGGATATTTGTAACAAGTGCTTAATGCTGTGTCTGGTACATAGTAGGCACCATATAAATGCTTATTCCCGACCTTCCTCTAGTTTGGGATATAGGGCTACTAGTGCTATCCATGGATTAAAGGGTATATGCATAGTATAGTAACTTTGGGGCCATAGTTCCAAATTGCTTTAAAGAACAGTCATGTAAAATCATAGCTCCACTAACAGGGTATCACTGTGCCTACTTCTCCATAGCCCCTTCAGTGTTGTCCATCTGATGGGTATGAGGTAGAGCCTCAGAATTTCTTTAAAGTGCATTTCTTTAATTACCAATGATTTGGAACATTTCTTCATTTGCCTATTGATTGCTTAGTTTTCTCAAAGCGTGATCCAGGGACCCCCCCAAGACTCTTTCAGGGGGTGCACAAAGACAAAATTACTTTCATAATAATACTAGGATGTTTTAATTTCTAATACAGAAAACATTGGGGGGGGGGTGTCCTCATAATTCTTAAAAGCGTAAGGGCTCCTGAGACCAGGAAGTTTGAGAACTACTGGCTTAGATCATTCCTATAACAATAATAATGTGGGAAATGCTGGACTAATTATTTCTAAAGTTCCTTTGAGCTTTAATGTTCTGATTCTGTAATCATCAAATTAATCCACTTTAACCCCAAATAACCTACATTACATGCTACTGTTCCCATAGGTAGAATTTGCCTCCTGAATGCTAATATTCTCACATCGAGCTTTAGATGGACTCCCCATGTAGCCACACAGGAGAGTGATCCAGTTTTCTGTCTTTAGTGGATCTGGCCACCCCTCAGGTATAAGACTACCAAAGTGGGTGGCCAGATCTGCAAATCTCATTTTGGTCTTGTTTTGCCTTGGATTAGTCTACCAAGGGTGGGTTCCCCACCCCTGGCGACTCTAAACATTTTCAGTAACAACAAAAGCTTTTCAGTGTAGGCTCCCATATATGACTGCAGCAATTACCTGAGCACGATGGTGTCCCACAGTTCTTGTGTTAAGCATTAGTTACTCCCCATGGAGAATACTGGGGAGAAGGCCCATGTGCCTGGATGTCTAGGTCTTCTCTTGAAAATGCGGCCTTGGCTTCTTTTAAAGGTGAAGTTTCGGTTTCCATTTAAACCAGATCTACCTATAGTAATTAAATTCTAGGGAAATGGGAACTTACTAGATTCACTCAGTTAACTCCAATACTGGAAACAAACGAGGGGTCGGGGAAGAAATTAAAATGTTCAAGTAGCTCTAAAGTCAGATATGATCAGAATCTTTGTGTGAAGGTTCAAGCCCCAATGATCAATTTATGGCCGCCACCGAAATGTAAGTGCTCATACTGACTCATTTATTCTCATTCAGCAAACATTAGGTGCCTACTATGCGAACCTCACTGTACTGGGAAAGATCAAGTTCAGCTACTGCCCTCAGGTAACCTTCTAGTCTAGCAGAGGGATAAAACACAAACATACATGATTATACTTAGCTTAGCGGTTTCTATTTATTCCTCTGGCTAGATTTTTTTAACAGAATGAAAAAATAAAAAAGCACCACTGCACAATATACCACTTTGATATGTTAACAGCCTTACTGAATGCTAAGATATTAGGAGATGGACAAATGATTGTATTAGCAACAGGAGTGTCAGGTCAGGCACAATCCTAGGAATCCAAATAAAAAGCTTTCACGCTTCATTTATAAGTAACAAAGTGCCAGCCCTGCCTAGTGTCTCCATTTGTGACTCATGCCAAATGCTGATGGTAGGGAGGAGACCTCGACCAGACGCATGGCTTCTGTACTTGGAAGCTGTATGACTGGGGCTAAGTCACTTACTTCCCTTTTTTAAAACTCCTGTTTCTTCTTCAATAGGAGAAACAACATGACTGCGCTTGGGGATCATTCTTACACAATCTAACACATGACCTGTTGTGCTAAAGGGCCTAGTACATGGACTCGGAGTCCGACATGTGCTGCACGTACACTGGCAGCAAGGTGCTAAATTTTCAACCACAGAAAATCACCAACACCATTTACTAAGGCATGGGCTATGATCTGCACTGGGGGAGGGCATACCCACAGGGATAAAATCAGGAATCCCTGAAGTGTTAAGGAACAAACACTAGGTGATCTCCGATGTCCCTTCCAATTCCAGCTGTAATGATCTCATTAAGTGATTAAAAACCTACAGCAAGCAGACACATGAGCAACACAAACCTTGTAGCCCAATTCTTTAGTCTTCTCTTCTAACATGGCATATTTCTCTTTATTCCTGCTCAGGTGCTCTTTATCGCCAGTTCCCTCAATGTGCTTTAGTTTTTGATGAGAAATTTCCAATTGTTTCTGATAATGATGATGCTTTTCAATCTTGGCTTCAAAGTGTTTAAGCTCCTCCTACAACACACAGTTGATAAGAATAAATAACTTCACTCTCTCTATCATGTTCTTGTTGCTAACTTGAGTCCCTGAAAAATGTTCACAATAAACTTTAAAAAATTTTCCTAAGTAACTACATGCAATGGCTTTGGATGTAAGACTTGGATTCTTCAGGGTGAAACCAAACTACTGTTTATGCCTACTGTAGCAGAGGGAAGGTCTTATGTCTTTGAATACTCAAGACCTTGTATCCCACAAAACTGTTACTCTTTATAGAAAAGATGACAGTGGCAGCTTCTCAAATGGCCAAAGAACCTGCCATACTATTTGTGTGACCTGAACAAGCCATTAATCTCTCTGGGCCTCAGTGTCCTCATCTGTAAAATGAGAGAGAATTACACTAGATGAACTTTCAGCTCTAAATTCACATTTTAAAAATAAAGTGATTAAAACTAATCCATTCGCTGTTTTAAACGCAGAGAAGTTCTCACCTGACTTTGCTTGGAGCCCATGAGCACCAAATGCCTAGGCACAGGGAAGGTACTCATTTACACATGTTCAATACCTGTGATTTCACTTTTGTGGGAATTCCCTCTGCCAATGAAGACTACAAGTCTAATCTTTTTCTGATATGGTAAACCCTTGGTTAACCATCACCAGGCAAACAGAGTAAACTCAAAGAAGCAGCACTGGGGAAAATCGGGGAAAGTGAAGGTGGAAATCAGAGTGAGCCACGCTGTAGAGAGGAACCTCAAAGACAAAGTTATAAGAGGTGCCGCTGAGTCACTGACCACAAGTTTTAAAAGACTCAGAGGATGCTGAGAACAGAATGGCTTTCTTGTCCCAGAGACAAGAAGGGTAGAAGAGATAAGGCAGCCTGAGAAAGAGAGAGGTGGCTTTGTTTTCTGATCGTGCTGGTCAACTAAGGTATTATTGTTAGGAATTTAAATCCATTGAGTTTTTTTATCTTAGTAAATTTATCTTCTTAAATCATCAGGTTACCTAATGTTCTTAATTGATATTTTTATTCGGTAGGGACCATGTGTTGGCATGAAAGAATTTATCATGGTAAAGAGGAAAGACCCTGCAATGGGGGTGGGGAAAAACTGGGTGCACATTCCCGCCTGGCCACTAATGAGCTTGTTCAACCTTGAGCAAATCATCTTCCCTCTGTGTGCCTCAGTTCTCTCATTTGTAAAAGGGGAGGGTTGGACTAGAGGGTCCTGAAGGCCTTTTCCCTGACATTCCATGAATCTAGGAAAACAAAAAGGGGCCCCCAGATGTTCCTTCCTCTCCTTTGTCAGATAGAAATGAAGGGAGACAAATGGGTTTTAACTCATGCTTGCTCATATCTTCTTACAGCACAGAATGAAAACAAGCAGGTGAGAAGAATCTGGGATACTTTTGAAAAAAAAAAAGGTAACTTATAATTTTGGAAAGATAAATTATTTTTTAAAAACCCAGGTCAGACCACATCTAGAATACTGTGTCCAGTTTTTGGTGCCTCATTTTAGGCTCAATATGAGGAACTTTCTAATACTTATAGCTGTCCCAGGCTGGAATGGGCAGTCTAAGAAGTAGCAAGTTTTTCCTGTGACTGGAGGTATTCAAGTAGCAACCTGGATGGAAATCTTGTTGGGTGGGGCTTGGACTGGACAGCTGAACTCTGAGAATGGATGATTCCATGGAAGAATTATTTTGGGCCATTCTTACCCGGAATGAATCCAGTTCCTTCTGAGTAAAGTTTGCTGTTTTAGCCATGTCCCACAAATCGATTACTCTTGGTTCTTCAAACTCTAAAAGAAAATAAAAAGGGTAAAAACTATGGCAGGTGCTAACACCTGACTAACATTTTCAAATAAAGACATTTCAGCGTATGATCCAGAATACCTGAACTGACCCTTAAACCATCAAATATCCCTTTGATTTAAATCAGTGATTCTTCTTTCTCCATTGATTTTAATACACGGTTTTTATAAGAAAGCAAGTAGGAACGCATCATTGAAGAGTGCTTCCCCATAACAAACCCATGAAGCAAGGAGTGCAACGATCATTCTTCCCCAGTAACAGAGGCGGTGACTGAGACTTAAATCACTTCCCCTTTAGGGGGTCTGAGTTTTCCCATCTGTAAAATGAGAGGGCTGGGCTAGCCAGTCCCAAAGGCCCCTCCCAGCTCTAACACGTTATGGCTCTAAATCTCACAGGTGGTTTAAATGAATCTCCAAATCTCCATCCAGTATTCATCAAGTGATGCTTATGTGCAACATGCTCTGCTAAACAGTGGCCAAGCTCAGCCCTCCAGAACCTGGCCATCCCAAAGCAGGGCGGTGATCAGTGAGCAGACTCGGCTAAGTGGATGGAAAGCGCTCGGGCCAGGGGGACAGCTTCAGGGAGGAGGCTGCAATGTCGAGCAGGAGCGCACTAGGTACAAAGATGTGAGTGAGGGCATTCTAGGCATGGGAGCAAGAGAAGGCAGGCGCTAGTCCAGTTTGGCCTGAATGCAGAGTGGGTGAAGAGAACAGTATGGAGTAAGGCTGGAAATGGAGACTGGAGACATCCCGTGGAGGGCCTTAAATGCCAAGCAAAGGCATTTGTATTTTATCCTAAATGAGCACAGGAGTGACACGGTCACATATGTGGATCAGAACTACAGTTCTGGCAGTTCTGCACCAGAGAATCTGGGGGAAGGGAGATCACTGGGGCCACTCTTACTCTCATGTAAGACAGAGGCAACTGTCAAAGGACAGAGTGAAAAGAGGAGGGCCAAACTCAGAACCCATGCGGACACTCACAGTTAGGAAGTAAGAGGAGAACCTGGAGAGAGCAATATCACAGAAATGAAAGGAATAGGATATTTTAGGCAAAGGGATATAGAAAACAATGTTAATTGTCAAGAAGGGTGAGAAACGGCCATTAGAGCTGGTATTCTGGAGATCCATGGTGAGGACACTTTTGGTAGAGTCAGAAGATAAAAGGAGTCGGGGAGTGAATGGGTCCTGAGAACGCAGAGGCACCAAGGTTATGCTTCTCGTTTAAAAACTGAAGAAAAAAATGTATATCTGCACAATTTCTTTTCCTTTTCATCCTCTTTTCCACGGATGTTTTTTAAGAACTAACCTGCTTACCCTGCTATCTGTTGTTTCTTGTAGCTTACAATCATTATCTGCTAAATGCTGCAACTTAAATGACATCCAGTAACTGAGGTATCAGAAAATATTTCAGTTGTTCCATAAGAATAATATTCAGAGAAGACGCTCATTCATCCTGCTACTATCTCATCAACTTATTGTCACCTCAAACCTTAAAATGACTCAGATTTAAATATTAGAAAATAATAATTCGAGATGCAGCCAAGATGGCAGCACAGAGGATGCACTTAGCCAAGTTCACCGAATATTCCCCTCCAAACAACTTCAAAATAACACCACAAATCAATTCTGGAGTGGCAGAGACAAAAGATCAGCGTGAGACATTTTTCAGCCCAAGACAACAACCAAGAACAGTCTGTGACCCTAGGGTAAGGGCTGGTCCAGAGCACATATGGCTACAAAACCAGCAGTGGGCCTTGGTGGAGGTGACAGAGGCAGCAGAAGCTTTGGGAACTCTCAGCTAGGAGAAATCATAAGGGACTTATTAAACTTTTCACATTCCTATATGGGAAGATGATACATATAAATTCTAAGAACATTATCATTAGTATGGCAGTTAGAAGAAGTCTACACAGACAGAGGGCAGGGGTGTGAGTTGACTGTGATGGGAAAATCTCAAAAAAAAAAAATCAAGGGATGAACCTAGGAGAAGGTGGAAGGGAGAGGAGGAATGGGAAAATCATCTCACATTAAAGAGGCATGCAAGGAAGATCTTTTAAAGGGGAGGTGAAAATAGGGGTTTCAAATGGGAAACACTTGAACCTCACTCTCATCTGAACTGGTTCAAAGACAGAAGAATATATACGCACTAAGTTTGGTATAGAAATCTATCTTACTAAATGGGAAATAGGAGGGGAAGGGGATAGGGAAGGTAGATTAAGGGAGGCAGTGGTCAGAAGCAAAATAGACTTCTGAGGAGGGACAGGGTAAAAAGAGAGAAGGATAAACAGAAGAAAACAGGATGGAGGGAAATAGTAAGCAAACTGTGAATGCGATGAACTCACCCATAAAACAGAAGTGGATAGCAGAATGGATTAGAAACCAGAAACAGAAAGACACAGTTAAAATAAAGTGCTGGAGGAGAATCTATTATGTTTTAGTTGAAGTAAAATGGGCAGGGGTAACAATCATGATCTCTAACAAAGCCAAAGCAAAAAGACATCTAATTAAAGAAATAATCAGGGAGACTACATTTTGCTAAAAGGTACCATAGACAATGAAATAATATAAACACGTATGCACCAAACGGCATAGCATCCAAATTTTTGAAGGAAAAGTTACATGAGTCACAGGAGGAAATACATAGTATAACTATAATTGTGGAGGACTCCAACTTTCCTCTCTCAGAACTAGATAAATCTAACCATGAAATAAATAAGAAGTTAAGGGGTAAACAGAATCTTAGAAAAGTTAGATGACAGACCTCCAGAGAAACCTGAATGAGAAGACCAAAAAATATACCTTTTTCTCAGCTGTATGTGGCACCTTCACAAAAGCTTGACCATTGTATTAGGACACAAAAACCTCAAAACCAAATGCAGAGAAGCAGAAATATTAAATGTACCCTTTTTGGACAATAATGAAATAAAATGACATTCAATAAGGTGCCATGGAACCACAGATTAAAAATTAATTGGAAACTAAATAATCTAATCCTAAAGAATAAGAGGGTCAAATAAAAAATAACAGAAATAATCAATCTGATTAAAGAGAATGACAATAATGAGACAACATATTAAAATTTGTGGGATGCAGCCAAAGCAGTACTTAGAGGAAAATCTGTATCTCTAATTATGTCCATCAATAAAAGGGAGAAAGAGCAGATCAATTAGGCATGCATCTAAAAAAAATCGGAAAAGAATAAATTAAAATCCCCAATTAAATAACAAAATGGAAATCCTGAAAACCAAAGGAGAAATTAATAAAATTGAAAGTAAAAAAAACAATAAACTAATAAAACTAGGAGCTAGTTTTATGGAGGAAAAGACCCAGTAAAACAGATTAAACCACTGGTTAATTTGATTAAAACAAAGAAGAAAACCAAATTACCAGTATCAAAAATCAAAAGGGTGAATGTACTACCAATGAAGACGAAATTAAATCAATCATCAGGAGCTATTCTGCCCGATTTTGGAGCCAGTAAAACTGAGATATCTAAGTGAAAAGTATTAGTATTTACAAACTATAAGCTGCCCAAATTAACAGAAGAACCAGTATAAATAATCCTATCTTAGAAAAAGAAATTGAATAAGTCCTAAAAGAGCTCCCTAAGAAAAAAAGTCCCTAGGACCAGATGGATTCACAAGTCAATTCTACCAAACATTTAAGAAACAGTTAATTCTAATACTATGTGAATTATTAGAAAAAACAGGTAAGGAAGGAACCCTACGAAATTCTTTTTGACACAAATATGGTTTTGATACCTAAACCAATGAGAGAAAGAAAACTATAGGCCAATTTCCCTAATGAATACTGATGCAAAAATTTTAAATAAAATACTAGCAAGGAGATGACAGCAATTATACCAGGAATGCAGGGCTGGTTCAAAAGGAAGAAAACTATGAGCATAATTGACCATATACAAAACAAAAACAAAAATCACACGATTATATCAACAGATGTAGAAAAAGCTTTTGACAAAATGTAACGCCCATTCCTATGAAAAACACTAGAAAGCTCAGGACTAAATGGAGCTTTTCTTAAAATGCTATGTAGTATCTATCTGAAACAAGAGCAAGCATTATCTTTAATGGAGACACACAAAAGCCTTCCCAATGAGCTCAGCAAAAACATCTATTATCACCACTGTTATTCAATATTTTGTTAAAAATGCTAACTATAGCAATAAAAAACCTACTATGATATGTATATATATGAGATATACGTATCATAAACTAAGATGTAAAATATTCTTTTAGGAATAAGAATAGGCAATGAGGAAACAAAACTACCTCTCTTTGCAGATGATCTGACGGTATACTTTTTGTTGTGTTGCTCAGTTATGTCTGACTCTTCGTGACCCTATTTGGAGTTTCCTTGGCAAAAATACTAGATGGTAAAACCATCTCCTTCTCCAGCTCATTCTATAGATATGGAAAATGAGACAAACAGTTACACTTATAGGTTAAGTGACTTGCCCAGGGTCACACAGCTAGGAAGTGTCTGAGGCCAGATTTGAACTCGGGAAGATAAGTCTTCCTGACCTCAGGCCAGGCACTCTATCCACTGTGCCATGTAGCTGCCCAAAGGTATACTCAGAGAACCCTAGAGAATCAACTGAAAAAACAGCTGAAGCAATTAACAATTTTAGCAAGGTTGCAGATTACAAAATAAATGACATTAATCACTAGCATTTCTACATACTACTAGCAAAACTCAGCAGTAAGAGATAGAAAGAAAAATTCCATTCAAAATAACTGTAGAGAATATAAAATACAGGGAATGTATGAACACAATTTACAAAATAACTTTTTACACAAATAAAGACAGATCTAAGCAACTGGAGAAATATTCATTGCTTTTAGGTAGGTCAGGCCAATATAATAAAAATGACAATTCTACCTAAACTAATTTACTTATTCAGTGCCATACCAATCAGACTACCAAACAATTATTTTATAGAGCTAGAAAAAATAACAAAATTCACTGGAGAGAACAAAAGGTCGAGGATGTCAGGAGAATCAATGAAAAAAATGTGAAGGAAGACAGCCTATCAGTACTAGATTTCAAGCTATATTACAAAATGGTAATCATCCAAAACAATCTTGTACTAAGAAACAGAGTAGTGGATCAGTGGAATATATTAGGAACATAATACACAGTAGTAACTGACCGTAGTAATCCAGCATTTGATAAACCCAAAGATCCAAGCTTTTGGGGCAAAAATCCACCACACGACAAAAACAGGGCCTCTAATGCACCAGCTGTGAATGATCCAACCACTCTGGAGAGCAATTTGGAACTATGCCCAAAGGTCTATAAAACTGTGTATACCCTTTGACCTAGCAATACCACTTCCAGGTCTGTACCCCAAAGAGATCAAAGGGAAGAGGACCTATATGTATAGAGATGTTTAGAGCAGCTTTTTTTTCCCCCCACAGTGGCAAACAACTGGTAATTGAGGGAATGTATATAGTAACAGCAGCACTGTAACCAGGATCACCCATGAAAGACTCGGCTACTCTGTGATGGCGGCTGCTATGTCATATCTGTAGTTGTACCTCTAGCACTCAGCATATAGTGCAGCATTTAATACATTGTTATTGACTAACTGAATGATATTAAAGTGAAGAAGGGTAGGACCCACACTGGCTGAGAGAACCACCACAGTGATAAAATCAAAGACCCTTGACTCATTTCCTTAGTGTCTTATCAGGTATTTGATGTTAATTTTCTATCTAATCTTTAGCATAGTCCTATTTGGTATACTATTAAGGAAACTAAAGGTACAAGAAGTTGACTTGTGGAAGATCACAAAGCTAGTAAATGGCAGAGGCAGAATTCAACCTCAGGTCTCCTAAGTTGTGCTTTCTACTGCACTACACAAAATGCATTCAACCTAAGGCAAAAGTTTTCTTGATCCACAAAGAAAATCTTGTTGCATCAACAATTAATCATTCAAAATTCATCAGGCACCTTCCATAAGCCCACTACTGAACCTGGCACTCTGAGATAAACATAATAAAAGGCATGATCCTTGCTCTGGAGCAGATTAAGATCTAGGCAGAGGGACACAGAGGATATCAAGAAATGGCTCTAAGGTCACTGCAAGACAATTTATTATGAATCTCAGTGATGTGGGAGTCTGAGAAAGCCAAGAGGATGAGAAGGTTATATATAAAATGGAGGAAGAGGAGAGAAGGTACTCTACGGGGGTGTGTGGGGCAACCAACAGAGAACAGGAAGAGGGAAGGAAGGAAATACTCCTGCAGCAAGGGCACAAGGCCACATTAGCTGGAACAGAGAGATCTTGGGAGACGAGACTAGACACACGACAGAGGCCATCAATACCAGGAGGAGAAGAGTGGACTTGTTCCAATACTGGAGAAATGGCCATCAGCTCTAAGTCTCTTGAACCGTGGCCCCTCGCCTGGTGCCCAGCAAACAGCAGGCACCACACAGCGTGTTAGCCGTTGATGATGAAGATGATGACAGTCAAGACTAACCGTACCGCCCATTTTAACCCTGTCTGACTCCACACTTTTACAGACCACCGCAGTCAGTTTCTGAGCTGACATCAACAACGGAAGCTCACCGCTGTCTGCGTTGTAGCCTTGATGACTGACTTTCCGCAGGCGGTCAAACCCTTGGCTGATGCTGCGCAGTTTGTCTCTCAGGTCCGTGTGCTTGCTGTGCAGCACGTCCTCTTTGACGGGGCCCCCCTCCAATGGGCTGATGACATTTTTGTGGCTCTCTGTTGAAAAAACAGTAAGAGAACAAGTGACTTGGCCAGTTCACAAAGCACCTTCCTCACAAGGGCTTTGTGAAGAAAACAGTCGGAGGACCCTGGAAGGAGCCTGAGCTCAGACGGATGTCGAGCCTCTAACAGCCTTTAGCGTCAGAGACAGGAATCAAACTCTGGTGTTCCGGTCTTGAGCTCAATGCTTTACCTGCGATACCACACCAGAAAACAAAACAAAAATGAAACAGAATCTTCTCCCAGACCTCCATTCACTTTACAGAGTGTTTAAAACTGATTTCCCATTCCGCTGTCCGATTCCCCATATGTAATGGGACTTCATACTTACTCTGTAGCTATCCTTTTCTTAACGGCTGAAATTAATATCCTTCATGCAAGAAAGATGGTTTTATTTCTCCTTCAACAGTCTGCAGATAATCTTGTTTTGTTTCATACTCTCCATCTAATGGCTTATGGAGGATAGCCACCTTAAAATAAACTAACAGCAGGAAAACTACACTTTTACAACAACAAACGTCTGCTAACTTTGTACAACTTGATGGTTAACTTTTATTTCAAGGCTGCCCCCAAATTCCTGCTTCATCCCTGCTCATCGAGCTAACCTTCTGTCACTTTGCCAGTGTCTACAATCTGCTCCCCTTGGCAGTTTGTGAGAATGAAAAGACACAGATCTGTCACTTTGGATAGGTCATGAGTCCAATAATAGTCTGGTAACATATAAAATCATGTTAGTCAAAATATCTGAAAAAGCCAGCGATTTTCCACTTTTGTGAAGGAGAGACATGACCTGTTAAGATTACTAACTCTAAAATGTCAAAGAAAATATCTAATCTGATATGCAGTAGAAAGAAAAGTAGACTAGGAGTCAGAAGACCTGGATTCCATTACTAGTTATACTGCTTCAGTTCGACAACACTAAACACTTACTATGTGTGAGGCACTGTATTCAGCATACTACAAGCTGGAAATGACAACAATCCCTGTCCTGAAGGATTTGCAATCTATGAGGGGAATTAGGGCATGTGCACAAAAAAATTACAACATAAAGTAGAATGTGACATAGACAAAGGAAACAAAGAAACACAAAACAATCTGAGAAGGAAGCTGCACTTCTGTGCATGAGGTGGGAGGGTGAACGAAGATTCCATGGAGGAGATCACACCTGTGGAGGGTCTCCAAGGAAGGAAAGGAGTACACTGGAAGCCTTAGGGAGCACAGGAGTTGGCATAAAGAAGTTTTAGGAGATAAGCCTTTGGCTGCAATGTCCGGTGTAAGAAAGGGAGCACGGTGAAGTGAAGCTAGGTTAAATCCAGGGTGCGTAGGCCATCCCACAGGCAATAGGGAAACACCAAAGGCTTTTGGATGGAAGAGTTGTCATGGTCAGACCATACATTAAGAGGATGAATTGGGCAACTAGGTGAAGAGAGGATTAGAGAGGCTGAGATGCTAGAGGCAGGAAGACTGGCTGGGGGGCTATTACAATATTCCAGGCCAGAGGTAATGAAGACCTAGACGGAGGAAGTGGCCTTGTGAATGGAGAGAAGGGGAAGGACAATAATTTAAAGTATTTGTAAAAAATAAAGTATTTATAAAATACTTCAAAGTTTGCAAAGCACTTTACATACATTATCTCATTTAATTCTTAAAACAACCCTGTGCAATGTTATTATCATCTTAATTTTACAGATGAGGAAACTGAGGCACAGAGACATTAAGTAACTTGCCCAGGGTGACACTTCTAAGTGTCACAGGCAGCATTCAAATCCAGGTTTCTTGACTCCAAGTCCATTTCCCTTTCTGCTATACCATATTACCCTCAGTGTTTATGGGAGAGAGAGGATGGAAGAACAACCAATGGGAATACCCAGGAGGATGGGCTGGTCAACAGGGTGAGGTGATAAAGAAAGGCCTAGGACAATGAGAACTGAGATCAGGTCTGGTGGCGATAGGGAGAGATTTCTACGAGCTGGGAGACCAAATGCTGAGGAAGTAAAAACACCAGGTGCAGCACCTTTCCTTGAGGTTTAGAAGTTAAGAGGAAGAGAGACATTGGCTCTAAGCTCCATTCAATTAGAACAGGACTTCGAAGGCTGGGCAGAAATCCAACAGGTCAAGAGAAAGGAGATGCCAGGTACAGGGAAAAGCATGAACAAGACATCAGAGAGGGGCTGCTTGGATGGGGCGCAGAGAGTACATGGGAGCTCATAGCAGACTGCAAATCTGCTTAGTGCCCTGAATGCCAGGCAAAGAGCTTTGATCCTAGTCAGTCGGCAGGGGGAGCCATTAAAGAGTTTGCAGATTTTGTCTCATCTAAACATCTTGTCCCTCCTATCCCTGTGTACACACAGTAGCTGCTTAATGAGTATATGAGGAATGGTGGCTGTGGGTGAATGAACTTTTTTTTTTAAAGGAAAAAGGGGAGATATGAGTATGTTTCTAAGCAGACAGAAAGGAGCAAGGAGGAAGACTGAAGATGAGGAATGTCTAAAGGAGCGAGGCCCCAGAGGAATGGGATTAAGGGTCACCACAGAAGGGGCCAGCCTTGGCAAGCAAGATGGTTATTTTATCCTCGAGGCCAGCAGAACTGAGAGGCAGAGAGGTACATAAAGCAGTGCTGTGATATGGAGGACAGGAAGTCAGGTGAATCCACAGGAGGAAGTCAGGTGAATCCACAGAAGGAAGGTAGAACCTGAGCCTTAAAAAAGTGAAATGATTTGCACAGGCTGAGAGCCACTGTGCCAGTATAGTAGCCTTCTCTCCTCCATTCTCTCACCCCCTTCTCCATCTTTCATGTGGGTACCAGACTGATCTCCCTGCTCAAAGCTCTGTTCATGTCTTCTTCCCCAACATCTTCCCTACCGCCAGGACCCTCGACAGGATGGCACCACCCTACCTTTCCAAACTTATACTAATGCTTCCCACGTACTACTCTCTATATGCCAGCCAAGCCTCCTCCTTTTCCCAATATCTGCAATGTCTTCCTCTTTCTTCACCTGCTGAATTCCAATCCATCATTTAAATACTCCCCTCTCCAAGAAGTCTTCCTGATCCTTCCCCAAGCTCCACATGCCTCATGCACATGGACCATTTTGTTTTGTACCTAATGGACTTCATCATGTATTACAGTTAAATTTTTATAGGTCAAAATCTCATCAGGCCATAAACTCCCTTAATTGACTGCAAACTTGAGTTTAGCACTTAAGTTCCCCATAGTATGGTGTCAGATGACCTTTGTATTTACCTTTCTCCTCTCCATGCTCTCTACATTTCAAGAAAACTGGTCTACTTGCTGTTCCCTCAACCTCAGCCTTCCACGGTGCCCCTCTGTGCCTGGTACGCGTCCTCTCTTCACCTCATACCTCATGTGGTCTTTACCTTAGCTCAGCTTGGGTGCCACCTCCTGATCCCCCTAGTTGTTAGAAGCCACTTCTTTCAACTATTCTGTCCTATCATAGCTATATGCTCAGGTTTGTCTCCCTCAATAAACTGGGAGCTGCCTGAGGGCAGGGCCAGTTTTTGCCTGACTTTGTACCCTCAGCATTTACCATAAGGCCTGGCAGGTAGAAAGCACTTTAAAAAATGCTTGTTGACTGACTGGCCCACAAATGAATGAATGACTGAGGACAAAGACCATGTTTTATCTAAAATGTGGCTCTCTTCTGGTTCCTTCCCTATATACTGTAGGTATTTAAATCAACATTTACTGAAATTTATGATATCCTGGACTCAAGTACATAGAATAATTTTTAAAAAAACACATAGAAACTACCCATCAAAATATGTCCATGGTGGAAACCCCACATAATTATTCATACCATACTTTGTATCTATAGCCAGTAAAAGCTCAGGAATTGAGATGTCAGATTTATAGTATTGCTTAGGAATTTAGCAGAACACTGTTTGGAAAACAAAGATGTGTTTTGTTTATGAATATTTCAACATTATCAGGCGTACCTTCTGTTCTGCTCACAGTCTCTAAAAGGACATTATATTCATGGACTTTTTCTTTATGATGCTTAAATTCCCGCCACAGTTTATCCAGCTCCTCACTGGAAAATTTCCCAGAGGTTTTAGCCTAACAAGAAAAAAAAAAAAGAGAAAAACTCAAATTACAAGGTTACATTCTGTTCACATCAATCATAACAGTTCACATTTATATAGTGCTTTTCTCAGAATTATCTAGTCCTAGGATTTAGAGACAAAAGGAACAATAAAGATCACCTAATTCTAATTAACATAACTTATTGTTAGTGATTTAAAGCATTCTTTCATGTGGCTAGTAGTCTGTATTTCTTCTTGTGAAAACTGTTTGTTTCTATCTTTCGATCGCTAATTTATTGGCGACGGTTCTAAGTATTACATATTTGTGTCAGTTCCCTAGGTATCTTTATCTTCCATATCAGACCTTTATTAGATATATTTGCTGTGAAGATTTTCCATTAATCCACTGTTCTTCCTTCTAGGGGCATTGATTTTGTTCATGCAAAAGCCTTTTCATTTTATGTAACCATGCTTTACTTTATGCCCTGAGCATCTTCTTGCTGTATTTGCTATCTTTTCCAAATATTTCTCTTCAAAAAGTTAACTATTCCTGAGCTTGTTTAAAAAGTAAAAGGAAAGTTGCAAATTGTATACAGTAAACTTCCTGAATTCACAGTATGTACCCACTAGATCACATTTCAAAGATTTAGTGTGGAAAGTAGAAAAGACACTGTATTTGCAAGCACAGGATGTGGGTTCAAATCCTGTCTCTGCTAATTACTAAGCCATGTGACCTTAGGGAAGTGACTTGACCTTTCTGGGCCTCAGTTTCCTCATCTGTAAAACAAGATGTTGCCTAGATGACCTCCCACAGGCAGCGTACTCCTAATTCTTCAACTGAGAGACTTCACTGTGTCAGCATCCTAACCACACATGCCCTGGCTGACCTCGAGGCTTGCTTCCTGGAAACAAAACCCTTGACCTTTATGAAAATGTTGGGAATTGTGTCATAAATCATAAAAATGATGTGTGCCCCCAAATAGAAAGTTTATACTAGCAATTCCAATGACTAAGGATGTAAGTCAGGCCCCCTATCATAACTGTATTCTTATGGTTGTGTGATAATATGAAAGCACCTCCACACATGATTAATCTTGAGAAGAGGAGTCCACAGAGACATGTAAGACAGACGCAGCTCTCCCCCTAACCGGGAAGGGTAAAATGCTCTCTGCCACACCCTCCCCAGGTAGAGAGGGAGCAGAATACTCACCAGCAAATAAATTAATAACCCACTCACTATTCTCATTTAAGAAACATTGAGTTTTCTGTGTTTTTTAAAAATATGCTTTTAGATAGAGGATGGGCTCCTCAATATTACTGTGGGACAACAAGAGAGAAACAAAGTCATGTAAATCTATTATTGTAAACTACAGGTTTTTCCCACACAATAAATCACCTTCCTTAATCTGATGTCCATCACAGTATTCAGAGTTGGAAAGACCCTTAGCAATGACTGTGTCCCGCCCTGCTCATTTTGAACAAGAGGAGAGTGAGGCTCAAAGTGGGCCATGAGTCACTCTGGGTCATACAGCTAACAATGAGTGGAGCCAGGACTCGAACTGAGGTCCCTTCAGCCAGACCTGGTGCTTATTTTCACTGTTTCTCATCCCTTCAATGAGCATCTAAGTACTCACAAACTGTGCAGAATCAGCACTAGTTGGCTACAAAGACAAAAACAATTTCTGCCCTCTAAGGAGCACACATTCTTCCAGATGTAAATAATGTGTGTGCGCATGTACATGTATACACACACGCACACGCACACGCACACACACACACACACACACACACACACACACACACACACACATGATCACGAAGGCTTGTTTTGTGGAAGGGATGGCCCCTGAAACAATCCTCCAGGGATGAAGAGCTCCCTGCAGCCTCTGTGCAGGGAGGACAGATTGAAGAGGGGAGAGCCTGCCAGAAGGGAGATGGAGGAGGACACCACTGTGGCAGTCCAGAGGAGAAGGGACAGAGGCAAGAGCTCTGCCTCCCATGCCAGTGCCTCGTGGCCCATCTGGCCTAACCACCTCATTTTACAGATGAGGAAACTGAGGCCAAGGAGGTTCAGTGACACAGAGCAGGCACTTCACAAATGCTTGGTGATTATGTAACAGCACAAATACACACGTTTAATCAAACAAAACGAAACTTTACCTTATTCCACAATTTTTCTAGTCTTGGATCATCCAGCACGTCATTTTCTGTGCCATCGCTGACGTAATTGGTATTTATCAGCTGAGCATCCTTCTTCCCATCTAGTCCATACTTGGCCAAAATGACTAACGAGAAAGAAGACAGTTTTTATTAATTAAATAACACTTTATATCCACATGCATTTTTCTTTTGAATCTTAAAGAGATTTAAAACTAGCTCAATTCATTCCTAGCAGTCCTGTGGCTTGGCAAACAGTGACAATATCAGCAGGTCCCGTTGCTGTGGTTTACAAAGCATTTTGCTTCTAACAACACTGAGATGTGAGGAGTGGAACAATCATCATCCCAACTGACAGAGGGGAAACTGAGGCTCTGAGAGGGACAGTGACTTGCTCAGGGGCAGACAATGGCATGTCTTATAAACACAAACAAAAGTCTGACAGACTGATGCTCCATCGCTTGCTTAGCCATGGGCACAATATAACCATGGGTAAACAGGAAATCTCGTCTATCTCACAGAGACAGCTGTGCCATACTGGAAAACACTAGATCTGGAGTCAGAGGGGCTGGGCCCAGGCGTCGCCTCTGCTACATACTAGCCACGTATCCCTGACCACTCGCTCTGGCTCTGTGAGCTTGAGTTTCCTCATCTATAAAGTAGGGGTCGCTGGCTCTAGAGACAGGTGATATTAATAACACTAGCTAACATTTATATGGGGCTTTAAGGATTACAAGATGTTCTACATCTACTCTCTTGTGGGATTCGATCCTCATAACTGTGGGACGTAGGTGCTATTATCACCTTTGTTTTACAGATAATGAAATTTAAGTCTGAGAGAGGTTCAATGACTTTGCCAGGGTAATCCAGGTAATAAGAGTCTGAGACTAGAATCAGACTCAGGTTTTCCTGACTCTAGGCCCAGCATTCTGTCCACTGAACCACCTGCTGTCTAACAAGGTTATCTACTCTAACCCCTTCATTCCACAGCTAAAGAAACTGAGTCCCAGAGAGGTGGACAGGTTTGCTCTGTCCAGCACACCACCTCCTTGGGGCTCCTCCAGCGCCAGACTCTTCACATATATTTTCCTGTGTCCCAATCAAAACGGACTCCTTGCTTTTCACTGTAAGTACCACTCTGTCTCTGGCCCTGGTGTTTCCGTACAGGCTGCCCTCCCTGTCTGCAATGAAGGCTCTTCCCCTGTCTCAGCCTTGGCCTCCTTTCAGGCTCAGAGAGAGCATTATCTCCCACCCTACTGGACCAGATCTAGCCGGTCCAGATTCCCCCAGTCATGCGGGTCCTGCCCCCATCAAACCAGGTGATCTCTTTCATAGCTACTCTGTACTGAGAGACAGGGTGAAGAGTCATGGAGAATAAGAAAACAGGCTCTGAAGGCAGGATGCTGAGGCCCACGTAACAGCCGCGTGACCCCAGGCAGTCTGAGCTCTGAGAACGCATCGGCATGTTCTGAAGTGATAGAGGAAACACCCTCCCCTGGGACTTCTATGCTGACATACCAAGTCTGGATCCAAAACAATTGTGTGTGTACTCCCCCTCTTCGTAAGCTTCTTGAGGGCAGGTCTTACTTCCCTTTGTGTTCTGAGCACCCAGTAGGACCTTAATGCCTTCTGTCATTACTCCCAGATCTCTTTCGACTCACATAGGCTAAGTCTAATCCTTTTTCCCACAAGAAGACTTGCCAAGTCACCCACTAAGCGTCTGTTAAGTGCCTCCCGTATTCTGAGTACTGTGTTAGGTTCTGGGGGAGATACAGAAGATAAAGAGTTCACAGAGGAAGCGGCATTTAAGTGTGGGCAGGAAATGATACCTGTTTCTACCTTGCTTGTTTCCAAAATGGATTTATATACCTATAAAATTATAAAGGTCAAAAAAATTAAAAGATGAGATGAACAGTTTCACTTGGCACCTGGAAGAGTTGATTACTGCAGGTGGGAACTGACTACAGCTGAGCTTCCTGAGGGCTCAGGGAAGCACGTCGAGTTAGTCAGTTCTCATTTGCCTCACAAAAGGAAGCTCCTAGCCATTGAGGCGGATGAGCTTTCACAGGACATGCTGAACTCCAGGAGACATGCATTACACAGACCTTTACGTTAGCCACATCCCTGCCTACTTCAATCCATCTCTTCCTTCAAGGCCCACCTTGGGTGCAGTGCCTACGTTCCCAGTTCTCAGCTAGAAGTGACTCCTCCTTCCCCAACCTGCATCCTTCTCTGCTTGTCACATTCCAGCCTGAATCCTCACTCTGCCTCATCTCTCCCAGAAGATGGGAGAGTTCCTGAGGACAGGGGCTTCACAGGCCTAACACAAAAGCACCACACGAGTAGCAGGTGCACAATCAAAGCTGCTTCAATTGAACTGAACACAAGATGTTGGTTAACACAATGAATGGTTTTGCAAAAGACACAGAAACATTTGTCAGACAAGCATTTTAAAATGTTGAACCTCTCCCTAAAAGCTGAGGGCACCGCCTCAAAGCTTAACGCCGCGACAACAGTGAAGAATTCAGCGAGGATGTGGTATGTTCAGATGATCCAATTTAACAGAGAACACAGAGGAATGAATGCACAACTAATGTGTCCATTAGGCTACTCCCCAAATCCCAGTATCCCAGTGAGCTTTTGACAAGGGCTGGATTGTAGCCAATTAATGGCCGAATTAGCTGAGGAGTGCCCAAAGAGTTGGCATTGTGTTGCTGATTAAAGAGGAGTCCACGTGCTTCAGCTGCCAGCCATGTGGGAGGGTGGACTGACATCCTATGGTGAACATTTAGGACCCTGACTCGTACCCTTGCACAGATGATGGCTGGGGTGGGTACTGGACTGCATGTGAATAAGAAATACTTCTGTATAAAAGAACCCAAGTTTCACAAATTTATTGTACCTACTGTTATTTCTGCATTAAACTAAGCAGTATTTAAAAAATCCGATGAAGGTAGAAGGCATAGGCGAGGACACGCCTAAGAATAAATGGGAATTTGTCCACAACAAGTGCATTACATGGCTAGCCACTGGTGCTCTTCAGTAGGCAGGTGCCCAGTAAATGTTCTGAGTCAAAATGAATTGACTTGACTGGCCCCTGAGGGAAAGCAAGGGTAGAGAGGTCTGGGGGAAGGCTGTACTATGGAAAGAACAGCAGGTGCTAGTGATCACAGGAGTTTAAAGGAATCAAAAAGTGGAAAGAGAAAAGGAGCAAATACCAGCAGAAGGTTGAAAAGAAAGTGGTGTGTGTAGGTTGTCTTGCTCTTGTAAAATGGCCTCAAATATCTTAATTTCTTAAGATTAAAAGTTAAGCAGAAACCTGGTGATAGTTTTCCATACTAGTGCTGCTACTACTCCCTTTATAAAGACATTGATAGGTTTCTTCTCTCACAAAAAACTTTTCTTCTAATCACTTTGATACCAACTTATTGATGTAAACCATGTGATCTTGGCCTTGTTAATTCAGTCTTCTGACTTCCCAGACATTTCAATGTTATCCTGACCAATAACTATGGTTTCCACACTTCCCTTTAAACTTGTCAGTTCATTCTCTAGCCCTAAATGGCTTCAGTAATTTCATTTTCTCCACACCTACTTAAGCCATATAACACAGATGAAGAAAGTTACGAGTAGAGTTGACCTGGACTATGAGAAATTCTTGCTACCTCACCTCAGTAGCATTTGGCAATCCTTTTATTTACTGCTTGTTGATTCCCTGAAACACATGCTGCTGTAACTGCTATTATAAATGACCACTCTTCCAGAGATCTCGATTCTGCCCTCCTTCATACACATCCATACACATGACTTTGCCTTTTACTTCACTGGACAGACTGAAATTAGCAAGTAAGAGCTTTCCTTTTCTCCATGTTAGAAGGACAACAGGAGCTGGTCACTTTCAAATAATTCAAGGGCTGTCACGAGGAAAAAAAGTTTACATTTGTTCTCTTTGGCCCTGGAGGACAGAAGCAGAGCCAAAGGGTAACCTCCTTGTAAGGGAGATGGATTTCAGCTTAGTATAAGGAAAAACTCCCTAGCAATCTAGACTGTCCAAAAACGGGATATAATTCCTTGGGAGAGGATTCTGATGGTATGAAAATATTTTACGTGCATCCTTTTTCTTCCTTCTTTCTTGAGTCAGAAGAGGAGTCCTTCGTATCTCAATCCTGTTCACTCCTATATCCTCTCAGACTTGAGAGGCAATATGTTGTACTGGAAAGAGCACTTGCTTTTCAGTCACAGGGCCTGGATTCAGATCTTGGCTCTGGAATTCACTTGTAACACTGAGCAAGTCCCTAAACTTCTCAGTGCCTCATTCCTCTTCTATAAAATCTGGGGATTAGATTAAGACCTCCAAGGTTCCTTCTAGTTCTAAATATATGTTCCTATGACTAATCAACCCCTCACCAGCATCTTTAGTTTCTGTCTCCCTTAATCTATTAAAGTATCCTTATATTAGCTCCCTTGCTTCAGCTCTAACCAGGTGTGTTCCCATTTACCTTCATCTGCTTTGGTTCCTGTCCTTCTAAGTAACACAGAAAAGCTCCAGGATGGAGGCAGAGAGATGCCTATAGATTGATGTCTTTTTTGTTCCTGCTGCTCAGAATCTTTGTCTGAGTCTTTCTGCCTCAGGTTCCTTTCCCAACATGCTACAGAAGCTAAGGTAACAGCTAGTCTTAAAGGAAGCCCAGGGAGTTAAAGGGCATGGCAGATAGCCAGGGCAAAGGTCCTGAGATGGGGAGGAAAGAAGAGCACAGCAATGCGGTCACTGGAGCCAGATTGTAACCTGAAAGGAGGACACTGGAAAAGCTGGAAGGAGCCAGGATGTAAATGTCAGTAAGTGCCAAGTGGAGGACTTCATACCTGATCCTGAAAGTAACAGGGAGCCCCTGACACTTACTGAGGAGGGAGCCTGACACTGTCAGGCATGCATTTTAGAAAAATTACTTTGGCAGCTAAGTGGAGGACACACTGGAATGGATTGAAAACTGAAGACAGCTGGACAGAAGGTTACTGCAATAGCCTAGGTAACAGGTGAGAGGGGATCAGGAGATATCATAGGAGACACTGTGAAGGCAGAGATGACATGATTTGGCAAGAGGCTGGAGACGTGGGGTGTGGGAGAAGT